TTTTTTTTTTTTTTGTGGGGGGGGGGGGGTGGTAACCTTAACTGAGCACTAGCAATACAACAGTCAACACCTGCACAGACACTATCCTGGGACTCTGAGAATCTGTTTCAGCAACCTGTAGGAACTTCATCATGCCATATGGTGTTTCGTTACTGAGTCCAAGGTATCTGATCAGCAAGCAATTATATCTGTTCTATACTCAGACGAAGATCATATTGAAGAAAGATTGGCTAGAAACGTAAAACTCAGCATACGATCACTCACCTTACCAGCATCAACAGCCCTGCCTAGAGCATCAAATTGTTCCTCGATACTCATGGAAGAGAACTATCGGTTCGGGTCATACATGGGTTCTCCAANGGCTAGAAACGTAAAACTCAGCATACGATCACTCACCTTACCAGCATCAACAGCCCTACCTAGAGCATCAAATTGTTCCTCGATACTCATGGAAGAGAACTATCGGTTCGGGTCATACATGGGTTCTCCATACATGAGAACATAGCCGCAGGAACACCCAGAAAATGCTTCAACAAGAGTGTGGAGAAGGAAAATACAACAAAAGTTAACTTGGCAACTACAGGATATGTTTATCCATGGTTTCCAAAGAATAACTCTATCTGGATGTTCCTTGTTGCCAATAGAATATATGAAACAAAATACAAAAAACAAAAGGTAGGGTCTACATACAAACCGATCAGCCCAATGAATTTGATACAGGTCGATGTAATTGGTTTGGAGCCACAACAAACTTCATCAGTTAAATTGGATCATATTTTTGAAAATAATACAAATTATCAACTGTAATACATCTCAGAAAAATTGCTTTAATATTTACATAATGATAGTATAGCCACATACAAAACATACTACAGAAGCTATAACTTTAATTACAGAGTAATGCTATTTGAACCTAAAAATTAGACATAATTCGCTAACCTAATGATGTGCCTTTATTGGAATCATTGGATTAACACCAAGTCCTAATGTTTGATAGGGCCTACAGTCAATCCATAGGTTATAGTGAATTAGGTCCCAATAGCATTGCTCTTAATACTAGGTGAAGCCTTATGCTTTCATGACAGCATATAGTATAAGATGTCTTACATTGATAGCATAAACACGAAAACTAGGACAGTAAAATTCAAAGCATTAACCTTAAGAAATCTGTAGGAAAAGAAAACTCACAACATTTGAAGTTGTAAATGATTGAAGAAAACATTACCAAAAAAATTACATCTAGGTGCTTACTAGCACCCTAAATGTTACTGAAGCAAAGGGGGTTGGAAATTGACCTCAATTCTGTACACATGTTAAACTCCTCAAAAAGGCAGCTACAACTGGGTGTACTTGTAACAAATTCAATGCCAATTGACTCATAGCAACTTGAAGGTACTACTACAAAAACCTTTCATGCTGTCCTACAACTTCTNGGTTGTCTCCACAAAGAAATCCTGATGATCACATTAACGTTAACATACATGAATTCAGCATAACATGTATGTACTTTCGCATTCCAGGTCAATCTCAACTTGCGGCAAAGCAAGGTTGCTTTAACAACATAAACATTTATTCAGAAGTGCCACAACGTAGTTCTCAGTTAAAATGCAACCTCTTCTTGCTCCAACCACTAATTTGAAACATTCAAAAACTCCCATTAAACTATTAGCCTCTTCATAGGCAATATCAGATTTCCTCATAAAAAATTCAAGCCCATGGACCATAGTTTAGGTGAACATGTCTTAGGCGCATACCAGGCAGAGAGAGAGAGAGCAGCGACTTCTGAGGCTGCATTTATAAGACCAATTGCATCAGATGACCATGATGTTATGTGGCAACAGACGCCACTTGCAATCAATCCAGATTCCAGATCTAAAGATATGAAACTACGTAGTCGTGTTTCCAACGNTATAAGACCAATTGCATCAGATGACCATGATGTTATGTGGCAACAGACGCCACTTGCGATCAATCCAGATTCCAGATCTAAAGATATGAAACTACGTACTCGTGTTTCCAACAACTCAGACAAGGATCACGGATTTAACAAGTTAATTCAAAAAGGTTATGTTTCCCCTTGTTGCGTTTTGATTTGCATGAATGGTAAAGAAACTTCCCAATGCATACTCAAAAGCTACAAAAGTTATGCTAAAATGTATTTAGAACTTATAGGCACTCCCTCACTTAAATCTTTCCAAAAATAGCCCAATTCAACATGTGTCGAGCTAAAAAAGCAAACCAAAAACAATTTTTAATCCCAAATTGCAGGAGACAAGGCATGTCAATAAGACAGGTAAACAAGTATTTGAAGAAACTGCGTCAACAGCTACCCACCCAAAGGCCCCAAGAAAGCTTAATCAAATAAAGATGCGACAAATATTAAGGTCAGCCTTAAAGGACCCAAAATTAAATGTCAGTTTCATAAGAATACCAACGAGCTAAAAAATACGATCATAACTATTGCTGAACGAACCAATATGCAGCTGCATGCACATCAACATCATGTCTGAAGCAACTAGCAACATGTAAGGCCTTTAATAATTCCACCACATATTCATGCTGAACACTTAGGTGATCTTAATTGTTCTGAATTTTATCCAATGTCATCAAAAACAACAATATAAAGGAATTAGAGTTAGGGTCCTAAGGAAATTCTCAAACTTCCATCACAAATAAATTTGCCTAGAATGACGATTCATTAGCACTACACATTGTAACAGAAACGAAGCTTCTGTGGTATAAAATATTAACAATCATATTCACAGAGCACTTCAGTTGTTGCGTTTTTTGTTGTTTTGAAGTTGCACAACATGCATAAATTGAGCCTATTTCTCAGAAGGAGATAATAAGTTGCATGCACAATTGCTGGTCGATAAATTAGATGCAAGTTAACTACCTCACATGATGACAGCACTCGGCCAACCCAGAATCAAAATTTCGGCTGAACAAGTTGTATGAGTTCTACAACAAAGATAATGACTCATGCATCACCTTACGATATATATCACAGAAAGAGGGGCGGGGGGGTATGTGTGTTGGTAGTGTTTTTGTTTTTTAGTTTT